CTCCGCTCCGGGGCCGGCGGGCCGGGAGCCTCCGGCCTCCGCTCCGGGCTCCGCCGCCGCCGCCGCCGCCGCGGTCCTCACTTCCTGATTCCCCCTTCGCCAAGATGGCGCCGCCGCCACCTCCGGGACGGCCCCCCCTTCGCTCGCTGGCACCCCCCCTCGCCGCCGGAAGTCGCGCGCCCCTCCTCCTCAGCGGCCCCGCCTCCGTCCCCCTCACGTGACCTGCCCGCTCTGGCCCTCTGCACGTGGCTTCTCAGTCCTTCCCGCCCCCTTGTTCTCGCCTGTCTCCCTCCACACGTGATCCGGAGAGGCAGGTTCGCCTCTATGAGCGTCTCCGTGCGTACTTACGTACGTCACGCGAGCATGCGCGCCGCGGCCCCGCCGCAGAGCTCCCCTGTCACGTGACCCGGCGCCTCGTGCTCCCAGGGGCTCTGTGCGCGGGACTCTGCTTCCTGCTCTCTGTCCCTCTTTCTCCGCCCCCGGGCAACCGCGAGCCTGCGGAGCTTCTGGTGGGCAGAGAAGAAAGGAGGGCTCTCAACAGCCGCGGGGGCTTCACAGTGCGTGTGGGCCACGCCGTCTTATGGGCAGGGTGCCTGGCCTCTGCGCTCCGCCCTGCATGGGCGTGCTGTCTCCACTGTATGGGGGGGCGCGTGGTCGGAAAGGAGCCTGAAGCTCTGGTACAGAGCCTTGGATTCGCTTCCTGGCCCCTGCCTCTGACTCGTGCGACCTTGGGCTAAGCACTTTCCCGCTGAGCCTGAGTGCCCTTGTCTGTAAAAGGCCTTAAGAAAGATGTTGCCGATTTGGACTTTTCGAAAGGATTTGATGCGAGGAAACGTAAAGTTCTGAGTCTTGGTCAGGTATGCCAGAAGGATAGTCAGTAGCTGACCTCTGGCACTTTTCAGTTCCCCACCCCCTTTCCCCTTCCGGTCTAGGTGACGTTGGAGAGGGACTGCATGGACTTTATGCACAGAACTAAGGCAGAAAACATTAACCTGTCAGTAGGATCGAAAGGGACACACTTGGGTAGATCTCGTTTTCTATACCAAGCCTAAAGAGCTAACAACACATTGTCGCAGTGGTCTTGGCGGCTGTCGTAAGTGGCAGGACCTCCCGGCTCTCGCTAGGTGGCAGCATTACAAAGGACAAATTTAGCTAAAAATCCGGAG